ACAGCACTGCATAAAGAAGGAAATCTCGAGACAAACCCTATACCAACTCTGGCATGTATGGCCAGCGTGGTATAGCAGGCCAAAACCTCCTTTCTAAGGAGAGGCCTATAAATAATATAAATCTTATAAATAAAAAAAATATGTAAATTTCAGTTCGTTACTATTTACTATTAATTGATGGTTAGTAAGCAGCTAACAGCTCATGAACCCTGCAGCTCAAGAGTAATTAGTGCGTTGCAACCATCAGAGCTGTTTCAAAACGCTACTACCAAAAATGACGGTGTGTCATATAAATTTCCAACCCCCATTTAACAACATTAGGAGGTTTTTTTTTTAATTCTTTCTTAATGCACACCTACCTCACCTAAGGAACATTTGTGCAAAATTTCATGCTTCTAGACCTAGGCGTTTCAGCTGTGCGTTGATCAGTCAGTGAATCAGACTGTCGGTTACTTCTTTTTTAGGTAAGAAAAAAATGTCTGTAACTGTAAATCCGACAAACCATAAAAAGTACAATAATAAGAAAAAAGTTTTATAGTACTACATTAACGGGCGTATTTGAAGCATCCCTTAATGAAGCCCACACCATACACGCGTCTATAGAAACGGGGGGGGATTTATTCATAGCTTAAATAATGGCGCAATACTTAAGAGATCGACCTGGACCAAAATAACTTTATAAGTAAATAACCTCATGAATTAATTACTTTAAGTATTTTGTGTTTAATAGGCTTGGCTAATTGATGCGCAGGTTTGCTGAGTTGATTTTATGTTTGACGGCATACAGGAACAGTTTCAAGTAAAAAAAAACGGCAAAAAATAATTAATATACTAATGAAAAAAAAAAATGTGTACGTGAACGACCTCTAGAAATCTTCTAGTAACAAACACGTTTAGTTCGACTCACACTTGACCTATTTCTATATTCATTCATTTTATTTAAGAGCTTGAGAAAATATACGTTACACTCATTAATCATAAGAGATCGTTTGGTGGTCGAAATTCGACCATAATTCATTATGTTTTGAATATTTTGTTTTATTTTATAACCGGTATAACGTGAGCTACCATTGCACAGACTTTCCGTACCAGGACAGGTCAACGTACAACGGAATCTTAGTAGCTTCCAATGGCACATGCAAATTTTAGCTTAAGCACTAGCTTAACTAGAACTTCTTCCACATACAAAACCAAGCAGACGTGGCTGTTGGTAGAGTGGTTAGCGATCCTGACTGGTAAGCCATGGGTCGTGGGTTCGATTCCTGTCGATATATATAAATATGTATTTAGAAATTTATATGTACTGGGTTGACGGCAATAAGCTTACCCCCCTTTTTTTTTCCCCGTGCGGAAATCCCCTCGGATACCACCTATCGGTGGCATGTCGGACTCGAACTGACTAAAACCGCACGCCGTCTCGGGTACTAATAGCCGGGGAACCAGGTATACCCTAGAAAGGAAGTCCAATAAGCTTACTCCCTATTACTGTCTACTACCCCTGTCTACCGCTTTGGTGATAATAAAGTAAGTGTTTGAACCCTATTTTTAAGTACGCAAAATTGTTCTTCAAGTAGGGTATGAAGAAACCCCTTCACGGATTAATATACATACATTCATGTTACAATTTAAAAATGTAGAGAATTCTTATTTAAACTTTCTCTTACAGATTCCTCCTAGAATTAGAAACTTTGGACTAGGGGAGTACCCTAAGGAAACCCCTCGATTACCAGCCCTAACAAAGAATCGTTATGTATCTGCTGCTGAATGCGATCGCGCGTTCCGCGGTAGGGTTGGCACATTCGTATTGCCACATTTCTTTAGCGAATATTTATATGGTAATGGCTCACACGTCCTAACGTCACCGTATCTGTTTAATTCAATTTAAAAAAATGAGCCATCTCGGGACGTCTGACAGATGTGAAATGTCGAAATTATTTGGTAGAAATAATGAGTATAAAATCACTAAACTATGACATGGCGACGCGTCGCCACGCCAACAACCGCTCTGACCTTCCACATTAGACGTTTTACATCAAAAATGGTAGAAGCTAAAAGTTTGGTGCTTAAACTCACAAAATACGCCATGGTGTCATTAGTCATTCCCTCATTACACTATTGGAATATTTCAAACGAAAGTAGTCAGCTATTTACCATTTATTAGCGTCCGAAGATAAGAAAGCAAAAACGCGATAACGTAAATTTAGGCGTAATTGCTAGATTAACTAATGACGACACGGCTCTTGAGATACGTCACAGTGGGAATTCCCATGGAGTAAGTGACGCAAATTTACGCAAATAGCCTTATATTCTATTACGTTCAGCCCTACACATCATCACCCCACAATAATGAATGACGAAGACGCATTATTTACTTATTGTATGTTTTAATCGTACCCGTCGCAAGTGGAAACAAAACAGTGACCTTTGATATCGCATCAAAGGGCCGTGGCGCGTAACGATTCACTAGTATTAAGATTAATGATAGTAGATTCGGTATGTTTACCCACAGCATCGCACTATTCGTGGGTCAATGACCGCTTCTTACGTACGCACATAAATTTCCATAGTATAGGTACATATATGTGCATATTAGACATTTGATGGAATGTTAATAGACAGTACTCGACGTATTTGTATTCATGGGAAGTTATTACGAATTTGTTTGGTTAACATTCTTAGTTAAATGCTTGTTTTCATAACTGCTGGAACTGTTTATTAAGAACCCTTAATAATGTGTGTTAGAGAATGAGCCCCGGTTGAAATTAATATTAATTACTTAAAACTGTTTTAAGCTAGCTTGTACTTAGCCTTTGTGATAGTTGGGAGATAACCACACGTATCAAAATAGAATTATTTCAAACATACAAGAATACAGTTGGTTACATACTATATTTAAATATGTTAATTTGAGTGGGTAACAATTCCATTATCTGTTTCTTGGGAATAGTAAAGCTTAAATTAACTCAGAAATAAATAAGTATGCAGAGTTACAGATCTTGGTTTAAAAATAAACATGACCTTAAAAGAAAACTTAAAAGAAGTACCACATCTTGTATAATTTGCAACTTACAATATTTAGATATTACCAGTACAAAACAAAATATTATAATAACGCTGTTTTATGTGTTTTACAGAGACAAGAAGAATCAACAGACCCCTAGAACTAGTCATTCCAAACCCAAATTTTTACCTTCAACAATCACATCACATCAACAGCCTTTAGTAGTCCACTGCTGGACATAGGCCTCTCTTTAGAAAGGAGGTTTTGGCCTACCTTCAACAATATGTAGCATATATAGATATAATATTAACAATATTCTAGATATCTTCTAGATGTTTTATTAAAGTTTTTTTGCTAGAAATTACCCCAAGATAGCAGCAAATAAAACTAGGAGAAAGTTGAATTGATAACATTGTTTAAATAAATATATGTTGCATACCAGTTTTGTAAGGTTTTTCTTAGACAGACGAAATAAACAGGTAAAATTTAAAGGATATAAGATATGTGGTTTACATAGTCATAGTACCTAAGTGTTTTTTTTTTTTTCAATTAATAGAAATATAGTAAGTAAGTTAAGTAAGAGTGGGAACCATAGTGTATAGGATACCTACTTGTAAAACAAATAAATAATAAGTATAATACATATTATATGTGTTGCCAATGTTTCTATAACCAAAAAGAGAGACAAAAACACTTTGCGTGCTGCTGGAGAGTTTAAAACACACTTTCTTTGGTTCTGACTTTGCTTGCATAAAAGTTAACTGTAGTCCTGGCAAAGTAAATGCAAAAAAATAAGTTAACAAATTCACAAACATATTTACAGTATTCATTTGATTCCTTGATAAAGTCATGATAATCAGTTAAGAAGTTTAGCTGTGAAAACATAACAAACAAACAAGCTCACATTCACTTTTATAATTTTAATTATGATGATTTTGATTGAGTTTAAAATAAATGTTTCTTTCTTTCTTTTCTTTTAATCCTCCTTTTTTTTAATAATATAAAGGGTTCAGGGCTTTTTGTCATAATCTTTTGTTAGCAAGCAAAAACACAGTTACATCAAAAGTCAGTTTTTCTTAAATTAGATATATGAATTTCTGATCTGTAGACTAATTTTTTACAAAAATAGTTGTAAGAGTAGCTCATTAATATGTAAAGATACCTGTATTGATACCCATGATGTGTAAACCTAATCACCATGAACATTGCGTTGAAAGTTTTCAATAAAGTATTTGTCTGGAATCTTAATATTCGTGATAGAACATTGTTTACTTAAATATGTACATGAATGAAGCCTCATTATATCTATTTTGAAAATAGATCCCCTAATCAGAAAATTATATAGTTTTATCACTAATTAATATAACCGGTCTCTTTTTGTTTGCAGACAGACTACTTCTTTAAGGTGGCGAGTTCTAAAAGACTTGAATATTGTTAAATTTACAGGTTGGAAGATGACAAACTCATACTAAACTAAATAGCAATAATTTGAAATGAATGATTTTATGTGAAATAATCATTAATTGGTGGCAAAAAAACTTTGCCCCTTACTCGACAATTATTAAAACTAACAAAACTAGAAACTAAACTAGGTTTTCAAAAAAAAAGATTTAAATGTTAATTACTTACCCTAATTTAAATTTCTTCAATCATTTGTATATATCTTAAATTCACTTACATTGAAATTTAAGAAATCAACCAATTTCTTATTGATAATAAATTTTGTTATAACAAACAATAAACAAGAATAATAAAAGAAGAAGTATCTAATAACTGAGTTTTAGAGACCACCAATATAGTATCTAGTAAAAAACTAGGCAGGCTAGAAGTTACAGCATTCTAGTTAGAATGAAAACTAACTGCCAAATGTTTGTCATGTATCTGAATTTGACATTGTTTTACATAACCTTAAACTTTCCAGCATGTACCTGTGTTTTACTCAAAGTTATATTTGGGGTGTACTCACATGTACCTGTATAGTTATATTTGGGGTACTCACGTATTGGATGGAGAAGCTCGTCACTGGCGTCGTCGGATCGGTGTTGCTTCAGTATAGCGGTCAACCAAGCATGTAGGTCTTGCTCATTCTCTGCTACAATGCAGAACTGTTCCTCGCGCGTGAAGAGGGCGATCACATGCTTCTGCTTTAGGTCTAAACGACGCATGATGTTATAGCAACTCTTGAGCGGCAAAACACGACGCGGCGCAGCACCTGAGCGAAACTTCTTCTCCGATTCATAGTACTCCAACCTTGCTGAGCAGTCTGCTGTCTCCGCGCGAAGTACGAAGAACTTTTTCTTCATCGTCTTCAGCTTCCGCAGGTGCCCTTGGCGCACCACGGCACCTGCGCCCCCGCCAGCTCCCCCCGACATCACTCCTGCATCCCAGTCCCGCGGCTAACGACACTGGCACATGCCAACCGATAACCTTGAAGTTGTTTACACCGATGATGAAAGTCACCCTAATATGCGACGAATAGTAAAACACCGTCGGCGGACACGCGCCACGACTAAAAATACATACAATAATCACCATAAAGTGCGTAAATAGAACCTCGTTGATTAATCGAACGGCGTAACGAATCCGACGTAGTACCTTATGAATTTATTTCGTATGTAGTGCCGCACCGATTTCTCACAAACACGATAACACTAATGTTAAAATCTTATCTTCACGAAATAATCATAATACATCAACAACAAACACTAGGTATTTCAATCCATAATTTGGTACGCTCGCTGTTACACTCGGTCATTCACAGACACTCAAGTTTAGAAAGAGATAAAATCATTCATAGTAAACGTAATTCGCACCGCACGCCCTTCCGTAAGTACGCAGGGCATGGAAGTCATGCCGTGGTCATGCCTCGCAACATCAAAACATTCAGAATTAACACTGTCACACACTGTTATGATAATCTACTGTTATGAAAACTGTTTTAAATGATATTCCACATAATGTTTTTGTGTTTAATCGTATAATTTATAAAAAACACGTATTTGCGCCTGGTTTTTTATTGGCTCTTCACTATTGCGTGTCATTTATTTGTACGACGAAATAGTACTCCATCTAACTATGTATAGGTACGGCGTGTTATCTTTATATATTATGCTTGTCGCGTAACGATTGACCAATCACAGGGCAGTATTCGGCTGCGGAATAAAAATATGTTGTCTATCGTCTAATAGATTTTTCGTGCGATTTCACTTTTTAGCCAATGAAAGGCTACGATTCCTGAATCGATTGTATAGAGACTGCGAAAAATAAAGTAAACGTTCTTAATGAATGTTACGAATGAAACTTCTTCACAACTTTATATCAAAATTCACATTCTATCATTTTATTGACATACCTTGTACTTTGTCATTGATTTCATTGAACTTGAAATTGTAAATTAAAATAAAGAAATCATCGATTGAAGAAAGCATAAATGATTTAAACTTCTAAAGTACCTAAATATTGCCACTACGAGCTCTATTCACCTCGCGTCAATTATCTTCTCTGACCACTCAAAATTTTAAATAATGTATCGTGTATTTCCTCATAAAATTAACATTATACCATATAATGGGATATTATACATTTATTAAAACTATCCCATTATATGGTAGCAGTACTTTAGTATCAATATCTCATCACTCATGTTTAGGAACATCTATTTAAAAGAGCGGTTTTTACTTAAATAGTATCGAGATTAAGTTGGAATAAACAAATACCTAGAAGAAACTTTTGAAATATGTGCCTCAGGTATCGATACGATACGATTTCTAGATGACAGTACTTGTAAGAGTTGTAAGTTTCAGCATGTTATTGTATAGAACATTTTAGATTATGGTAAAAAATTTCGCTATGGACAGAGCATGCATTGACAGTTTGTCCGGTTTGTCCAATGCTGGTTGACGTATTCATAAAATACTGATACAACTTCGTCATTTCTTCCAGTACGTTGAATTAGTACATGAACATCTTTAGTAAAATAGTATTCAATGAACATGTTTCCAAAATCTATAATATATTAAATTTCATCACGAAAAACAATAGTCAAATAACATTAGTTAGAAAACCAAGGGCATAATAGCGGTACATTTATTTTAGAAACAAAATGGGCAATACATTATTAAGATAAACTATGTTTAAAGAAAATCAGTTAAGTTATAAGTTCAGATTGTTTAATAGTGGTTTATAGATCTCACCATCATGGGAGAAGTGTTTTTCCCCTGGGATAGAGCATGATTAGGCATGTTGTTAATTCGGGGAGGAATATACATAAACATACACACTTATAAACACATAAATTTCAAAAAACATAGTCGGGCGTTGTGACTTTACTGCCAACTTATTTTAAAGAAGATCTTGTACTTTCTTCTTGAACGTAAAGCGGTTAGTGGACATCCTGATTTCAACTGGGAGCGCATTCCAGAGAAGAACTGACTGTACATAGAAGGAGAGAGAAGGAAGAATTGATGAAGTTGGAAGTATGAGGGGGGCAAAGAAGCATATTATATGTTGACCGAAGATTTCGGTCGCGATTGGAGCAAAGGAGGTGGAGATGGGGAACCAGGTACTCAGGTACCAATAGTGAATTGGGAAATGAAAAAATATGTGTTAGTGCCCGCAGACTGCGGCGTTCACGAATCAGAAGCCATTTCAGTTGGGAACGTAGCCACATGCCACATACTTGCGAAGGTTAAAAACAAATCGAATGCAGTAATTGAGAAATCGGTCTAGTTTATTGAGGAGTTCTGCATTCAAGTCAAGATAACACACATCACCATAATCGATTAAGGGAGTCAATACGAACACATTGTTGTCGTCCTTGAAGATACAAGGAAAACCATTCCAGGGCTTCTGAGGAGGTCACAAGATAGGAAAGGATGGATAGCAGAACATCATCACTGACATTATTAAAGGTATTCGAGAAATAAATCAAAGCCAGCACTGTGACTTTGGTGTCCTCCATACCCTCCCTTATATCGCCAGTAATATCCCTAATATCGTCTGAAACCAGATTGTAAAGGGCTAAGAAGCTTCTGCTGGTACACAAACTGCGATAGCTGCTTATGTACACAAGTCTCAAGCACTTTTGAGAAAAAGGCGAGTATGGAAATAGGTGTTCAGGGAGAGAGGGTTTATTTTTTTGGGCAAAGGGATTATGAAAGCCTTACGCCAGATTGATTGTAAATTCATGGAGTCGTGTGAAAAGATATGTTCCGGGTCCTCCTATAGTAGGGCACCTAAGGCCGTCGGGGTGGTTTTTAGTCGAATCATGACATACTCCTGGCTCCTGAGTACCCGGGGAGCAGGGATCCGAAGGGATTTTCCACCCCGTCAACAAATAAAAAGGTCTCATCATCATCATTTTTTTCATCTTTGCTTTCCTAAATCCCTATCCCATACTGTTTCTACTCGTAGTAACTTCATTGCTTCGATGACTGCAGTATGTTATAATAGTTTAGTTTTCTTAATAGTCAGGCAAAAACAGTTTTTTAACATGGGACTGTTGGTCTCTCTGCTCCGCTAGTGTAGAAATCTCAGCAAGATTGGAGTTTGTAGTGGCAAAATTACCTCACACTATTCTACTACGTTTTACTGTTTTCGTATGGAAGAAGGTGGAATTAAAAATGAATTTGATAAAGGGAATTGAACAATATTTAAATCTTGCAACTTGGATTTAAATATTAATAAGTAATAAATATATAAATAAGTTTTATTTGTGCACTAGCCTGCGAACTGCAGCTATGCAGTGATGAATTGACCGGTTGCAAATCGCTTAAAATAGAAACCGAGTTATACTTTTGTCTTTGCGTATTAAACAATATTTTCTCTTGAGAGCTAAATGGCTTTATCAATAAACTTACTAATTTCTATAACATTTTATAATAAAAATACAAAATATCAGAAACGAGTGACAAATTATCTAATTTAACAAGACAGTTTATAATAGGTATATCACAAAATAAAGATAACTACTTTTAATTTCGTGTCATACGATTCGGATTTCTGATAGCCCTATTCTGTCAGCCAGCTGTTCTAGGCCAGCCGTTTTTTTTTCTGCCCAGTTAAACTGTATGTTTATGTTCATAAACATAGCATCAAGCCTTCAAGGAAAGAGCGTACTCCTTCCTAAAAGTCCTAAACGACTCCTGAGTTGTAGACGTTCATAGGCGGCGAAGAACTTTAGTGTGTACACACACACACATACACTAAAGTTCTTTTTATTAAAATACTAAGTAAAAAAATAATTTAGTATTTGAAATAGCTCTTAAAACCCTTTTTTTTATTTTTCTTGATTTACATTTTTAAACCAAGAGCAAATTCAAGAGCCCAAAAACTAATGTGTCCGATCGTATCTGATGACAGTAGTCAATTCAATATGTCGGACGTCCGTCATTCATTCATTCATTTGCCTTGCTAAAAAAGGTAAAGAAACGAGAAATGTTGGCAAATTAATAACGATAATACGTGTTACCTTTCTTTTCCTGCCATTATTGCTATTATTGATAACAAATATTTATGTCTCTGGAATAGCATCGCTTACAATGAGCCGCTTTGGTAATACTTAATATGTTTACATTGTGAAATAAGTTCGTAGACAGATGTGTCGCCGTGAAAACCATATTCTTAGCGAAAGGAGATTTTTTTTGTTGCTTTTACTGTGTTTGATAAGTGATTTTGGTGTGCGGCGACACTTAATGGACCGTGTCTGTGTACTGTTTGGCGATAATTGTGGCGTATAAAGTTGTTGCATGTTTCGTGTGCAATCGCAACAGCCCTGTTGTGCGGTGCAAATTTTGTAATAGTCGCTAGAGCGTTGAAAATATGTCAGGTGGATTGACCCCTCTGAATATTCTAATTTAACAGTAATCTGGTTTTCTAGATGGTATCTTATTTAGTAGTGATGTTGGTGTGAATACTAAATATGTTACCTATGTTTAACAGGTCCCAAAGTTGAACAGTGAAGTGGAACAATGGATGTTAAATTCTAATCAATAAGGTAATAACACTTTATTTATAATGTTGTTGTTTTATTATTACAATATGTACTGGAAAGTGTTTGTTATAAGCTTAGTCTACAATTAAATATCTCAACCAGTATACTGTAATATAATACAACAAAACTAGATGCAACAAACTTTTAAATATACATTAAATACTTTCTCTTTGTTATAATTATAATAAGATATTTATCTAAATACTAATTGGAGTCATAAGCCTTATGATTTGTTTTATTTTATATCAATGAATGTACGAATGGAACCATAATTAAAGTGGTTACCTCACTACTATGCTATATCAACTGTTGTTTGCTTGATTCCCACAAGAAAAAAAAAAGAACCATAAATATAGAATATAGATTTTTTCTTTAGTCTGGGTATTCTGTCAGTTGTTTCAATGTTTGTAAGATGTTCTGTATATCATAGAAATTGTTACTAGTGCATTATCTATTTAAATTAAAAAAAATGTGAATAGATGATAGCATTTTTTTTCAATTAAAGACCATAGAGACACTTCAATAAATGCAACATAAAAAAATATTAGCTTACCTCTTTGGCACTATGGGGAGGCTTTGGCCTCGCCTATAGATTACCATTTGTTTCTATCAATGTTGTTTTTTTTATTTGAAGTGAATGTAATGAACATACTATGATGAGCAGGCTACATTGATAATCATTTTTCTATAATTGTCTTGTGTAAGTTATTTTGAATTATAACAATACATACAAAAGTATTTTTTTAGTTTGCAATAAATATAATTAACATGTTGAGGTATATTTACGGAATATGTGTGTGGGTGGCAGTCAAAATACTCTGTGTCACATTCCATTAATAAAAAAGATGAGAGATACGAAGATATATATACTCCTAGATAGTAATGTTAAAAGTTTTACAATTCTTTAGTAAAATTATATATGGTAATGGAATTTAGGGAACATACCTAAGTGACTTATTCCGGGGGGGGAGGGGATTTAAAAAAACATTACTGACATATGTCAGGGAGGTAAAAATGAAAATGTTCGACATTACTTAACCAAATTTAATATTATAAATATGAATATGAGTTTGTTTTTTTTCTTTTATGAAAAAGGGGGCAATGGAGCAGACAACAAATTAAACATACTCTTTGCCAAGGATATGTAACAGGTCATAGGTTAATTTTTTATCCAAAAAATATAGTTCACGATTGATAGAATGATTGACACTTTCATCTCGTTTTTGTTTTAAATGTTGACTTCCTGTATGAAATAGTTTACTACTGTAACTGCTTTACGTGTAATATTGTATTATCACCTTTTTACAGAATTTCAGGTGTTATTAATTTTATTTCCAGGTATATTATGGCATCTGGGACCTCATCTTTAGAGAGTAATGGCAGTAATGGTATGTGTCTGATAGCATTTTCTCTAATTAAATTATTAAAAAAAATTGATGTACACAATTTTCAATGCCATATGTTATAATTGGTCTACAATTGTGTAGAGAACAATTTATTATTGTATCATCAATCATATCATATAAACAATAGGATTGTACATAAAGAACTATATCAATTAAATTTTAATTTTATTTGTTCATTTAATTTCGTAGAATAAAGTTAGTGTAAAAACAATATTGTTGTATTACAATACCAAAAAAGATTTATAACCTGGAAGAGCCATACTTTGGCATAAATGGTCATGCTTGATTGGAAAACTGGTGTTAAGTAATTCTTGCTTTTCACCAGTGAGTGAGGTTATCAGAGCCCCAACCTCCAGCTTTTGGGACTCCAAAAGGCTTTATCGCATTTGTGACTCTTGATTTGTAAATGTCCATGGTAGGGTTATACTGGTAATACGACTAGCTTAGGTAGTACCCTACCTACTGCTTGGTTGCCTCCTATACTCTAAACAAAAAGTGTGTGTGTGTGTGTCAGCTTCTACTCACGACTGGAGTTTTTCTCCCTATGAACGATTTGGCTGCACACAAGTATACAAGCTACAATACACACATGAAAGGTGCGCACGATAGGTTGCGCACATACAACGTAACGAGGTCATTCGATCACTAAATTTTACTCTTCATATTTTTTTCATACCGGGCCTTATTAATCGATTATTAAGGAGTAAACTCCAAAAAATATGTCGAATCAATTTCAGAATCAATCTCCCACAATTACGTGAGCCAAGAGCGCCACACCACCACCCAGCTGCCGACCATCCCCATCCCGATTGAATATGAAGTACTAGCTTCGAACCAGTGCTACGAGAAGCAGAACTATACCGTTAAATCGCACGGCGCGCACGTAATGAGCGGGCCCTATGAGCCGCCGCTACAGTATGACGTCATCAATAAACAGACCAATGAGAGCTTGAAACAACAATGCGAAAAGACGTTGCACGAACTGAACCAATTAAGGCGACAGCACACTGAGAAGTCGCGGAGGTGTGAACATGTTATGAAGGTTTGTGTTTAAATTGAATTCTCTTGATTTTCGGTATAGTTTTAGTACAATCGAGGTTTCTTCAAAAATGATAAGATTTGTAAACGTTTAAAATGTAATATGGTTTATAGATACTAGAGAAATATCTCATTAGTTTGAATAATTAGAGCATTATAAATAACTAAGTACATAACTTGAAAATATTAACATACAACTCTAGAAACTAATTATAAGCATGCGTCATAGAACTCCCCCACATAATTGACTAATGGTTACAATCCCAGCAGGCTGTCAGCATTGCCATGTTGAATGTCAATTTTAGTTATAGGTGCAAGGAAAAGACTGGCTACCAGTTCCAAAAAAAAAATCGATTAGTTGCTCAGCTAGTTTATTGAAACGAAATACCATTCAGACCCTATGGCTGTATTTCTCTACTCGAACCTCGAAAGTAGTTACAATAAAAGAAAAATTAATCTAAACATTTCAACTTCGACTGTAAATCACTAACAAAAGTCGTATTCAATATAGAACCCTAAATACTCGATTAGGTTATTAGTACATCAATATTCAAATTCAAATATAATAGACAAATGCTAGTATGTAACTACCTTCATTCACTTACAACAGTATTAAAATGTAAAGTCTCGACAGCTCAAACCTAAACCTTTGTGGTTTATCCACATGCTGTCATTTTGTAAACCTTCTCTGTCAAGTTGATTACGTGATAAAAAAAGTTGAAGATTAATAAAAAAAAAATGTATTAAATACTAGCGATCCGGCCCAGCTTCGCACGGGTGCAATGTAGATACTACTAACACTACTAATGTGGTTTTAGTGTGGAATAATTAACCGGACCGATTTTTGTGAAATTTTGTGTGCATATCGGGTAGGTCTGAGAATCGGCCAACATCTATTTTTCATACACCTAATATATATTTTTTTTGGACAAAAAAAAATGTATATGGCAAAACAACGTTTGCGGGGTTAGCTAGTAAAATTATACTATTATTATGATAGAACAATACTACAGGACATCTTTATATGCAATATTTATAGGCCCGCTCCGATCCTGTCGGCCGCTGCCACCCGGGACGGGCGTACGGCTCGGCGGTCGTTGAGGCCCCTCATTTTAAATCTCTAATATCTTCTAAAATATTCATTTTAAAAAGAAAATAAATTAAAAATTAGAATATAAATTCTTCGTAATAACCCATTATTTTTTTGTAATATTTAAAAAATAAAAATGGTTACAGTGGGTTATTGTTAGGAGATAGACATATACCATCGTGGAATTTTTTGAAGATCTTTTTAAGATATACAATTTCGTAGTACATTATTTTGGGCTAACTCATTAGGTTTAGCCAGCGTTTGCAATGCAAGCGCACAAAAACATGTTTTTTACAACAAATCTTTAAAATTCTCGGATTTTCTCTACTATAATATTCATGTATTATACATTTAAACTTTCCTCTTCAAGCACTCTCTCTTAGTTTAAAAGATCTAAGCGTACAACACAAAAAAGCTACTTTATATTATAACTATGAAAAGAGATTCGTAAATTTTTCCCTAATATGCACGCACTTGCGTATGAAACAAAAAACTTTTTCCAATTTCACGAGCAAGCGACGAGCTATTAAACGGAAAACGTAGGTAAGAAGCGAAAATATTATAAAGTATCTGAGATCACCGTTATTCCTAGGGTAACGGTGAGGTAAGAAACTTTCTATTGTCTGCGCCAGCGCTCATGGAGGTCATAGATCATTCTGCGCTCGTCGGCCCCTGGTGCCTCTTCTCTCTTCTTCGAAGTCGTAGCACTGTTGCGTCCACGTGGAGCACTTCACTCGAATATCTTCCTTTCTCCGAGTCTTTCCACAAATTAAGTTGGGGTCGGCTTTAAGGGGGCATTTCAGTCTAGAAGCCGATATTTCGAAGATTCATAAAAAATAGCTATTGATATTTTACCATCCATTTTTTATAGCTTATTTATTTCTATTTCAAGTGAACACATTTAAAAAAAAAAAAATTGTAGCAAATTATGCATCGTTTAAGTAGAGAGGGAAAAAAAAAGCCGTGTCCCGATCGTCATTTTATTTGTTTATTTTATTTATTTGGGTCCTTCACATCTGACAGTAAGTACATGTAGAAAATTTACAGAGTATTACGCCAATTATGAAGTACACAATATAACAGTTAGAATCAGAAAGGGCTAGGGTAGATATCATGACAATCGCGACACCGCTTTTCACCTTTTCAGAAAAATAAAATTATGGATAATTTTTGATGAGTGTAAATGCTACTCAGAAATTGAGGTCGATTTTCCCACTATTTTTTTAAGTTTCCCGAATTTTTAAAACATATAAAAAAAATGAAATTTTACTTTTGATCAATTCATACGATAGAGGAATATATAAAGAATATTCATGCCAAATTTCAAGTAAATCAGTCGACTAGAACTTGAGATATTATGGCAGTTGCATCGAAAGTATAATAGTTTCGAGAAAAACGCGTTTAAAGTTTTACGTTAATTTTTAGGCAGTGTAACTGATAGATATATCGCACCCTCGGTGCAACAAAGTCACAACAGGTATTTTTGTAATTTTACAGGAACGGACTTTTAAGTTTTTTTTCGATCAATTTTCCTTTTTTCTAGATTACTGCCTACAGCAGCCGGGATATCTCATTAAAATTATATTATTTGTTCTTTTAACTACAGTATCATGTAAAAAGATTTCTTTGATTTAATTAGAAAATTGAAAAAAAAACAAAAAAAAGTCGTAACTTGTGACTATGTCGCACCAGGTACAAATATAATTTAATTATTTGAGCGTTATAATAGCACTTTGTTTTTTCAATATACGTGAATAAAAATTGTCATTAATACCTTTAAGCTTTTATAGCTCCAAGTCACGACTGACTCATGCGGGCGCGGGGTCACTACTTACCAATCATACTCTGTTCTCCCAATATTCGTCGAAAAAGTAGCAAGAACCACAAAGGCACTAATGCCATCTATCGATATACTCAAATACTTTCGCGGCTGTCTTTGATTTCCCACACGAAGAAATGGTTTATAGTCAATTTGGCATACTTAAGTCATTTTGGCAATTTTGCCTACTTGTGACTTTGTTGCACCGAGGGTGCGATATATAATGTAATAACTTATTTTCTTAATCAGCCATCCCAGCTCCATACATAGGGCCTTCTTCTACCTCATATTGCTATCTATTGAAACATGGAAAAAATAGATTTTCGATTTTTTCAAATTTCAAGACATCGCATTCTACTGCTTTTAAGTCTTCTACGATACGACTGAACTTCGATTTGTACAGGAGCGAATGCCGTCAGACCTCCACAACCCAAGTAGAAAGGCATCTGTAGAAAGGTTGTTGTCGAACTTCTTATAGTTCCCTACCCGCAACGATTGCCACAGATACCAGGACCGACGGCTTAACGTCCTTTTCGAGGCACGCAGGGGTCTCAATGTTTTAAGAATGGTCACCCATCCATAGACTGACCTGCCTTGCTTAACTTTATAATGTGTTAAGCTACTCGGTTACTACTACAAACTATATCGATGACTGGTCTGTAAAGTTTTAATTGTTGCAGGAGTTGGAGTACTTTCGAGGTCAGCACAGAGCAGCTATGAACCAGCTCGAAGTCTCTGCACAGGAGGCCAGCAGCCTCCGCGGCAAGTACGGCGACCTTCTCAACGACAATCAGCGGTGAGCGAAACAACTTTCTTAAGCTAGGGATTCACGTTACTCGCGCTCGGATGGTTATTCGGATGCTACTTGTATCGTGTAAACACGCCATCCGAGTGCACTCGGGCGTCGGATACCGATCACAGTGGACTGATCAGTTCTGTCTGATCGGTCTGATCAGTGGAGAGAGTGCGTGCTGTGTTTGCTCCCTTAATCGGCTCTTAAGACACCCACGGGGTGAACAAGGGACGGTGACACTCCGTATTCTTAAATAAAAAATATATTTGCAGTTTGGAACGCGAAGTACAGCACTTACAACAGAGTAGCAACCCTGAGACCAGTTCGGATGCTCTCGTACAACACACACTTAGGAAATATGAAGCTCTCAAGGAGGAGCTAGAATGTTTTCAGAAAAGGTAAGGTAGCATTCTTTTTTATGTAATCTTAAAAAGGTTAAAAAAAAAAGGATTGAAGCTATACCGGTCACTGCAATAAAACCATACATTCAAGACTCTTGACCTTAACCAACAGGCGATCTCTGCCAATTATAATAACACACTAGCTGAGACCCGCGGTGTTACCCGCGTTTGTTGTTATAATCGCGGGCAACGACGCGGGGCGAAGCTAGTCTAAAAAAAGTTACTCCTTATGTCATCAGCTATCTGCCAGTGAAAGTCCCGTCGAAATCGGTCCAGCCTTTCCAGAGATTACCCGGAACAAACAAACAGACAGGCAGACAGACAAAAATTGGGAAAAAAAATATTTTGGCACATGTACCGTGTAAACAACATACATATGCATTTAGTAAAAAGCGGTTATTTTAATATTACAAACAGACACTCCAATTTTATTTATTTGTATAGATTTGTATAGATTAACAGTTTGTCAGCAATTTTGTTACGCAGCAGGGACCCCTCAATTGTACCCTGTGGCAGTCCAATTTGTAATGTGATGATGAACCGTGTAGTTTTGTAAAGTAATACATATAGTATGGGTTGCTATTATGGTGATTTCCACATTGAAACAAAAATATAATTGCCATCTAACAAAGACTTACTGAACTAAGGAGTAACTTCTAATCCTGTATCACATCACATCAACAGCATTTAATAGTCCACTGCTGGACATAGGTATCTCCTTAGAAATAAGGTTTTGGCCTACTATACCACGCTAGCCAGACGGGTTGGTATAGGCTTTGTGTCAAGTTTTCCTTCTCTCTGCAGTGCTTGTGTTCTGCGTAGTTTTTATCCCTTAGTCGGCTCTTACGACACCTACGGAATGAATAGGGGTGGTGACACTCCGTATTCTTAATCCGTCACCACACGGACCACACCCTGTATCGTGACTTGAAAATCGCTCGGTTTCGACCGGTTAGCATGTGTACAACATGACCCGTTGGCCAAGTATGATCACCTTGCCTGATCGGAAGATCTTCCCTTTATGTTGGACGGACCTCACACCGTTCCTCAACGCTCTCTTAGTGATTATTTAAAATGTGTTTATATCAATTGTAGATACGATGACCTGATAGAGAACCACAACACAACACTAGAAAAGCTAAGAATCATGCAAGAAGAGAACAGTAGACTAAAAAGTCAATGCCATGACCTGACCCAAGAAAGAAATGCTGTGGTAAGTTTTGTCCGTATATTAACGTTATTATTATTATTCAAAATATTTTTTTTACGAGATATGGGGAGCAAAAGAACAGACTGGTCCTGATAAAAAACTTACTACCAGTATTGAGTTTTCGTTTGTATGTACTTGGGCAAGTTTTTGGTACATACGATGTACCAAAAACTTGCCCAAGTGCGACTAGATTTTTAACACTTAAGAAAATGTATAACCCAGAATCAAAAAATAAGCTGCAAATCAAGATTTTTTTAACCTTAGTCTATGTTAGTTGTGAAGATGTTATATGATGGTTTGGTGGTACTTGACCTGGTCTGTGTACAGATCCGCGAGCGTAACGCGCTGAAGCAGCAGGTGGCGGCGGTGGTGCGGCAGTGGGAGGGGGGCGCGCGCGACCGCGCCGACATCAAGCGGCTCACCGACGAGCGGAACGCCGCCATGGCCGAGTACACGCTTATCATGAGTGAGAGGTAACCGCTACCACTTCTTGTAACGCTCTGTACCAGGTGCCGGTGGTGCGATTTGATTTGTGAATGCGATTAAAAACATCGAGGTACATAATATCAGAATCTTTAAAACCCAACATATCTATATACAATTTAATAAATTTTGTTAAATATTTATAAGGCTTTTAACTGTGTTTGTACCAAAATATTAGTCAACATTTTTACAATTACTTTTAAAAAATCACTGTCACATTTTATAATGTAATCGACGTAATTATTCATTGTTTAGTAAAGGCAATTTTGACTGATTCTATCCAAATTTACATGCGAACAAAATAAGAGTGCCACAGGGTGTTAGTTTGGGTCCGCTTAGATAATTTTACCATGAATTATATTTATCTGCTACAAATAAAAACCGGGGGCATAATATCGATTACTTTTAAAAAATACTGAAATACTGACATAAAATAATGACTAAATAAAATGTTACTCTACAGAGATACAGTACATAAAGAAATGGAGAAGCTGTCGGATGATCTACAGGCGGCTTTAAAACGCGTCGCCGCGTTAGAGTCAGCGTTACAAGCTTCTAGGGAGGAACAGCGGGCCACTGCTCTGCAGGTTTGTTTTATATTGTACTTGAAGCAACCGTGAGGGTAATAAGTTTATTTAGTTCAACGGCGATAGTAACATTTATTATTCATAATCTACCTATCATTATCTTCCTGCTTATAAGAGAAGGAAAACTTGACACAAACCCCACAACCTGTCTGGCCAGCATGGTATAATAGGCCAAAACCTCCTTTCTAAGAAGAGGCCTATGTTCAGCAGTGGACTATTAAAGGCTGCTGATGATGATTCCCTACCTGCACTTTTCCCTATTCTGTTTGAGGTCGGCGTAATGCCTAACACTGTAAAAGGTTTTGGCTCTTCTTTTTATTTTCTTCTCACACCAAATCTCATTTTGAATGTAATCCTTTTCAGACTTGTGAAGTCAATTTGCGTAAGAAAAATACTTAATACTTACGTTACTTGACTTAGGTTATACGTTTTACGTTACGTTACGTTATCTCTTACCCTAACTCCCTAGGGAGTTAACTCCCTAGGGAGTTAGGGTAAGAGATAACGTAAGTCCATAGTAAGCTCGAGAGATTATCTGTATTTCCATTCTTATTAATCCCTATTTGAATTCCTCCAAGCCTATTTCCCAAACTAGGTTGGGGTCGGCTTTGAGTCTACTGCGATACTGCTGAACTTCGATTTTTTACGAGGAGCGACTGCCATCAGACATTCACTATCCAAGTACTAGGCGATATCGAAGTTCTGTTGAAAGACTGTTGGTGGATTTTTTACGGCTCCATCTATCCGTAACGATTGCCATAGATGTTCGTATAGCCGCCGGGATCGACTTAGGCTTAACGAACTCTCCGAGGCATAGAGAGGTTTCAATGTGTTAAGAATGGTCACCCATCCATAGACTGACCTGGAACTCTCCGAGGCATAGAGAGGTTTCTATGTGTTAAGAATGGTCACCCATCCATAGACTGACCTGATCAGGATTGCTTAACTTTTCTATTTGTAAACATACTCCTGATTAATCCCTAACTAATCTTATTTCTAATATTAATGTTAAATGTTTTTGTACGTATTCTATAAGACACGTATACATATAATTTGTTTCAGGCGGAGAGTCTTCGGCGTGAAATAGAGTCTGCTCTAGTGGATCGAGATCGCGCTATCAAAGAGTGTACTGATCTCAAGACACCACAAAACACATCCACTTTAGGCAAATCCAGGTAAAATCCTTAGTATGCGAAGTTGTTTATAAACCAATCAGCGTAACAATTTTCAAAGACGCGATGCAGGAAATGTAATAGTAACAAAGTAGTTTTTGGTGTTTTAGTTAGATGGCGCTAGGTGTATCGCCATGAAACGAACTTCGCTTAGCTTTTGTCGTGAATTTTGCCGGTTTTTAGAGAGAGTTATAGTAATTGTTTGAAAAAATATTTTGAAATTTAATATAATGAGTCAATAAACGAATTCAGAATGAGTGCCATTCTCAATTGCAGTGTATACATTTATATCTCGAATTTGATTGTCAAATAATGTGTTGTGCTTAGCCACTTCTCTGATCAGGACATAGCCTGTAATATTCCTAGGAGGTTATAAACTGGAATAGTATATAGTAATATATTCATTAGTATAGAATTTAATTATATTGTTTATGTTCCACAGACAAGACAACTCAGCGTACCACCACTTGGGGTTAGCAAGTGGCGTGGGCAATGACGGATTCCTCAACGGTCAACACTCCAATGATCCATCATTGGATAAGTTGCAAGGTAAGCATTTATATTACCTTAAAAATTTAATGCAGAAAACGTATTCTAGATTCATAATACGAAATATTTCATAATCCGTATATAAAACAGAATAATGGAACCGGCTTTACAGTGCTGTTGTTGCGTATTTTGCTCCCTTAGCTTACGACACCTACGGGATGGATTATGAATACGGAGTGCCGTATTCATAATCCGTCACCACACGGAGTAATAGCTTATCTCTCTCTGAGAAAGCCCAATTCAAAAGAAATCTTTCAATTCATTGCCAAAAAAAATTGTAACCTAGGGGGGCGGGGGGGTCAATTCTAATCAAGTGACCGGTTTGCTGTTTGTTGAATCGTATGGTCCATAAAAAAGCAGCAAATACAAATATTTGCAATGATCGATTAATCGATCATGCGACTCGTGTCAGCCGAATACTGCGTTATATAGGGTAGTCCGAAAAATAGTAAATACACCAAGCATGTCTGCGCAGGTCTAGTGGGGTTGGTGGTAGACGCCGTAGACAAGGAGCGCGTGGACAACCTGGAGCAAGCCAACCAGGAGTTGGAGCGCCTCAGGAAACAGATCGACCGGCTGCAGGCTGAACTCGCTGATGCGCAGCGGGAAGCTGAGGTGACTACAACACTAATTACGACGTTAAAAATGCTTTTTCCAGTCATTTGAAACTGTTTATTAAAATGTATGTTCCAGGTATCGAAACGTCGAAGAGATTGGGCTTTCTCAGAGAGAGATAAGCTGTTACAGGAGCGAGAGAGTGTCAAAGCTCTTTGTAATCGACTGAGAAAAGTGAGTTTCATTATTTTTCAAAATTCTATAACGCGTAGGGTAATCTAATAGGCTAGCTGACTATATTTAAAAACTTGGTTAATTATATACTGTAATATTTATTTATCCCAAAAAACCTATATTTTAAAGAAAAAGCAATATTTACATGACGTATTTTGTATTTAAAAAAACAATTTAAATTTCCCTTGAAAACGCTGAATAGTGTCATGGCGTCTTGAATGACGTCACAGTCTGCGAAACAAAACTGTTTAAATCTGTGTCCAGTGTCAACTGAAACTGGAACTGTATATAAAATATGCTAAAAACAAAAAATAATAAGGAGTAACCTGCGCTGTTGTATGAAAACGTCAACAACAACAGTGATGTTTTGCGTGGCGTGACATAACACTTTTTGCTTGGCGTTCGCTGTCACGTGACTTAATGCCTATTTTGTTCGAATTTATTTTTTAAAAATATTAATGATCTATAACTTTTATGAGAAATATACTGGGTTTTTCATATCTATGACTCTTCATTTATAATTTGAAACTATAAACCAAGCAATTCGTTATTAGTGGACACAAGCCTATTAAAACATATGTCAAAATGAGACAAATTATATCAACTGTGATTTTACTATGTGAATGGTAGGGTAATATTTGTACTAACAGCCCTGTTGGTCTAGTGGCAAAGTGATCTTGACTGACTAAGCCAGAGGTGTGGGTTCGATGTCCACCCAGGACAAAGAGTTGTAGGATAAGTAATGATAATTTGTTCTGTCTGGGTGTAATGTTTATTTGGTTCCGACAAATAAATAAATAATGGAATTCAATGTTAATTAATTGTGAATAGATGTTGTTATTAATTATAGATATTAATTATTGTTGATAAAATTATGCATGTAAAGTTAAGTTATGATTCGATGTATTTTAAGTTTTATTTTGCAATATTATTTATGGAATAAAAGGCTATTAATATTATTATAATTATTATATATGGTTACCATAAACAGGCTCTGTCTAGTTGGGAATCAGACGACCATGTGTTAGGTTATTATTATATTTAAACTGCGTAGGAGTCGATTAGCAGAAGCTTACTTCTGTCGTTTTTTGTAGGAACGAGATCAAATGGTAGGTGAGCTAGCGGACGCACGTCGTCACGGGAATAAGAAATCGTCTGACGGAAAAGACCTGAAGCGTGGCATGGCTGATGATGACGAGAGGAAAGACTGTCGGAGGCATTTGCACTCCCGAGATTCCGCTGTAGACACTGACATGCAGGTAAAACATTAAATTCACTTCTATTCACACACTCAACTTTGTAATGAAATAAAAAAAACCTTCGGAACTGTATAAACATCTAAGAGTTACCAATATTTAATTCTATGACAATGTCTTCTTCTAGGATTTCGAATGGGAGATCATAGATGTGGAACTCCCAGGATTGACCAAGGATGGTGATCTAGGATTTGAGCTGTCAGGAGGACGTGAGGAGCCTCACTACCCGAACGATTGTAGTTTGTATGTCACTTCTGTGAAGAAAGGGTCAGTTGCTGATGGCAAAATTAAGTAAGTTTTTAGTAATTATTTATTATTTTTGCTGTGTTACATATTTCCTTTTGCTTTTCTGAAATCTGTGGGTTGAAAAGGGACGGAAATATGTAACAGGAAGCTGGGGGAGCGTTAGATATTTGATTTGATCAATTAATACGTAAGTTTTTAGAGTTGGCTGTCAGATGTTATACTTCATTATGGGACATATGTTATTTGTTTTATTAAAATTTATCGGCAGAACAGGATTTTGATAAAAGTAGGAATAACTTTTTTGCATACAAAACAGTTTTAATAAAAAAAAAAGTGGTTCCCAAATGATAGAGTTTATTTAGGTGGAGACGAAAGAAACGACCATTAAATAAACATTTATTTGCCTCGCTTTTTAATATAGTTTGAAAACTAGGATGTTATGGGTCTGGATGTGTTTATTTATTGTTAGATTATAAAATACTGAAAATTTTGAAACATACGAAATCCTTTCTTCAGAAATACAACTTCTATTAGTTATTACACGATCTCTTCGAAAGGCAATAATTGTCACATTCGATTACCCGAAGTGATAACTCGGGTCGACAAAACCGAAAGTGGTTTTTATTAGCGGTTTATAGGGCGATGAAAATTACAAACCTATTTGGGGTTAAATCTGTTTCTGCCCAAAAAACTATCGGGTCACATAGACGTGTGGTGACATGTGTCGGTGCGCAGGGTGCTGGACCGCGTGGTGGAGGCGTGCGGCGTGTGCGTGTGGGCCAGCGGGCACGCGGCGGCGGCGGCGCTGCGCGCGGCGCTGGGGCGCGCGCCCGCCGCGCTGCGCGTGCAGCGGCCCCGCGCCGCGCGCCACCGCCTGCTGCTGCCCGACGCCAGGGGCCTCGCGCTGTGCCACGGTAACCTAGTCTACTCTACCGACCGACCGAGCCCCGCCCCCTGCCCGAACTCGCTCGATCGACACGTCACTATTTTCTTAACGCGAATAGACTATAATAAATTCTCACTCTGTAAACTTTTTGCGTATTTTTTTGAAACTTCTTGAAATTCTACAACTTATCATACTTTCCTGTTTAAATAAAGTTTACTTAAAACCTCTGAACTGAACTGAAGTTATCGACGAAGAGGGCCTGTATTTATACAACTCGTAAAGGAACATTCTAGCAGACTCCAATCCTTACAAGAAGTGTCCGCTTCTGAGAAATACAAATTCGTTTAAAAATGTAAACAAGATATCTATTTTCGATATTATTTGTCAATACACAAACTCATTATTCCATGTCCCCCCGTATTATTATTCAAACGGTGCCCGGTATTCTATATTATTTAAAAAAAAACTGGAATATCCGTGATGTTTCGTGACATTATAAACAAAATATTTTCCAAAATAATTGAGCTTAAACCCATTTTATATTTAGCAACTACTTTACAAATAATTCTTATTAAAAACCTTTTTAATTTAATCTTCTAATAATAATAAATTACATTAAAAATTATTTATTCCTTTACAGGTATCTTAATTAGCAAAATAGCTTCTGGCAGTGCTGCTGCTAAGGAGAGTCTTTATGTTGGCGACAGAGTTGTTAGTGTAAGTATTTTTATATATTTGTTTTTTTTCTTTAAATAAGACAACTCCCGCATTAGGAATATATCCTGTGTCGCGGAGGACTTTACAAACATACACGAAACGGACACAAAGGACACCCAGACTCAGAACGATAATTTGTAGTTCAAGTGCGGGAGTTGTCTTTAAAAAAATATCTATGACTATTTAAATGAGCTTGAAAAAATAAGACTCTCGCTCTGTTGAAATTATGCCGTAAAAGGAAAAATGTTGTGCTGTTATGGCTGTAGTTGTGCTACAAGGAACTATTCTCGACCCATTTTTTTATATATTTTTTTGAAATTAGAAGTCAATATAATTTGTTAAGGTATAATGCTTACTCGTGTGAGACCTAGATTGATGGTTTTAATTATTGTGATTACCACTTACAAGCCTATCTAGGTGAAAATGCCTTTTTTTTTAAAGGAAAGAAAAGAAACACTATTAAAAAGTTGCTAGCCTTTTATAATTAAAGTAGATTTTGCACGCGGCTCCGTCTGCGTGTATGTCCGTTATCGCGGTAATAAATAGCCTATGTTACTCGCTGATATTGTAGGCATCCATTGGTGAAAGAATTTTTAAATGAGTGGTTTAGGCGTGAGAGCGTAACAAACAAACAAATACCTTTTCGTATTTATAAGTATGGATTATTTGATGTAACATGATATTTATAATCTTATTTCGCAAACTTACCCAATTTTTTTTTAACAGTTTTTTTTCTTTGAGATTCTCCTAAAAATAGCTTTTTAAATGATTTTCTTATTGCAGATAAACAACGTCTCACTCGAAGGTATGAAGAGCGTGTCGGAAGCGATGGCGCTGCTCAACGAGTGTCAGTACGAATCTGTGGCGTTGACTCTGCTTAGGCCTTTGTATACGTGCTGCAACAATACTAGGGAAAGGTATGAGATATAAATACTAACGCTTAATTTTTTTTCTGAACACGTTTACTCATTCATTCATTCATTCGTTCATTCATTCATACATTCTATTTAAATATAATATTTTTGAACGTGTAAAGTATATAGACCATGTTACAAAAAAGTGTATTGTTATTTTAGAAGCATTATTATAACTTAATATCAGTTGTTTTGCACTAAAATAATGGAAAATATTTATAGAAAACACTTTTTCTCGTTGGTGAACATTCTAATTTAAATATTATTTTTTATTATCATTTAAAAATCTAAATCACGTTTTTTTTAAATGTGGTCCCTTTCTGACAAATTCGAATTTGATTGATTGAATTACTGCTGACATCGTGTCTATTTGTCAACATCCAGATGTTTTTGTGATCGCCTTTTGCACAGGAAATGAGTAAGAATTTTATCTTTACAAAAATTCAAGATAAAATTTAAAATCAATGCTCCATCCGCTGGTATCGTTTGATTAGTAGCAACGAAAACAGAGATAGATCAATATTGGGAGATAAGTTTGTGTAAAGAAATATTTAGACGAGTTTTTGCCAAGTGCGTCACTGAGGCCCAGGTTGGCATCGCTCGACTGTGATCGATTAGTTTTAGATAGTGCACTTCCGTACGCTCTTAAATGTTTTCTATTCTGTAATGTTTACATGGCTAAGTCTTTATCTCAATGTTTATCACACAGTCTCTGACGTCAGAAATATTGCCGCGGGAAGTGGTGTATGTACCCCATGGCTGATTACTCAACCAAAACCAAGGAGATCCAACATGAGGGAATGCTTTCTCGTAGACAGAGCATGCGTGATTGAGCGCTCCGCTGACGGGTTGTCGATAGCAGCAATCCGGGCTACCGGATTCCATTAGAATGATTGTCCCATCAGTCACAGTAGTTTTTTTAGGACCAAAGGGTGGAAAAAAAAGTTAAGGACTGCCTTATGGTAAAAACTTGCCGGTTACATCAATTTTTATTAAAATATAGTGGCTAAAACAGTCATGATTAGTGTATCATGACTGTGTATCATGAATTTTTACACGCTTTATATTAGCTTCACTTGTGTGTTTGTATGTTTGTTTTTAACCGACTCCTTTGGGCGTGATTTTGACTGACTTTAAACGGTTTGAATTCGTTCAAACTTTGTAGATATATCGAGGACCGATGACACTACACTAACTTAAAATAAAAAAAGTTTAAAATAACTAAAAAACACGCTTTTTACCACGCACCAAACTAAAAAATAGAAAATAAATTTTATTTTCTATGTTTTTAGTTTGGATTTCTATAAAAAGCGTGTTTTTTAGTTTTTTAAAACTATTATTTTTATTAAAATATAGTGGCTAAAACAGTCATGATAAGTGTATCAGTTTTAGCCACTACATTTTAATTTTTACTAAAGAAATAAAATTTACAAATTTTTGCTATAAGGCAGGCCTTAACTTTGTTTTCACAAAAACTTCTTACAAGACTCTTAAACATAAAAGTAATCTGTTCAATTATTTGCCATCAGGTTGTCACTGTACGATCCCTCGTACTCGGACGGTAAAATGGTGAACATCTGCTCGCAAACGGACGAGTCGTACTGTCAGTTCGTGCAACCGCCTCAGGATAACAAGGTACATACAAAAAATACATAATATCCACTCCACTGACTCCTGTACCAGGGCAAATAAAGGAAAGTTTTCATATTCCCTGGTTAAAATCGCTGGCATTCGATCTGAAAGAATGAAGTAAAATTTATGCCTACGGTATAGGTGGTATTTTAGACTCCTTGAAATGGGTTCAAATGGGAATGACGGAGCTCCCTTGTCTTCCCTCTGGTCTTAGCTACAATTCTTCTTTATTTGTTATTGACTATAATTTATTTGACAACAGGTTCATATTGACCATGGCATACCAGATTTTGACAGAAGATACGTGTACCATGTAGCTGCTGGGAGTCAGGGGAAAATACCACAAGAAAGAGGTAAGTCTATGTCATCTGTTTTCACACCTTAAGTTTTTATTTACTTCACCTTGTTCTTTCATTTATTTCACCTTGTCCTTTGGTTTATTATACCTCATTCTTGTTACTCCATCTTGTTCTTTTATTTAATTCACCTCGTCCTTTTGTTTATTCCACCTCATTCTTGTTACTAAACCTTGTTATTTTATGTATTTCACCTTGTCCTTTGGTTTATTCTACCTCATTTTTGTTACTCCACCTTGTTTTTTTATTTAATTCACCTCATCCTTTTGTTTATTCCACCTCATTCTTGTTACTAAACCTTGTTATTTTATTTATTTCACCTTGTCCTTTTGGTTTATTTCACCTCATTCTTGTTACTCCACCTTGTTCTTTTATTTAATTCACCTTGTCCTTTGGTTTATTCCACCTCATTCTTGTTACTCCACTTTGTTCTTTTATTTTTTCTATCTTGTTATTTTATTTACTCAACCTTGTTCTTTATTTATTCACCCTTGTTCTTTTATTTATTCCATCTTGTTCTTTTATTTAATCCATCTTGTTATTTTATTTATTCAACCTTGTTCTTTATTTATTCCCCTTGTTCTTTTATTTATTCCATCTTGTTCTTTTATTTAATTCACCTTGTCCTTTTGGTTTATTCCACCTCATTCTTGTTACTCCACCTTGTTCTTTTATTTAATTCACCTTGTTCTTTTATTTAATTCACCTTGTCCTTTTGGTTTATTCCACCTCATTCTTGTTACTAAACCTTGTTATTTTATTTATTTCACCTTGTCCTTTTGGTTTATTTCACCTCATTCTTGTTACTCCACTTTGTTCTTTTATTTTTTCTATCTTGTTATTTTATTTACTCAACCTTGTTCTTTATTTATTCACCCTTGTTCTTTTATTTATTCCATCTTGTTCTTTTATTTAATCCATCTTGTTATTTTATTTATTCAACCTTGTTCTTTATTTATTCCCCTTGTTCTTTTATTTATTCCATCTTGTTCTTTTATTTAATTCACCTTGTCCTTTTGGTTTATTCCACCTCATTCTTGTTACTCCACCTTGTTCTTTTATTTAATTCACCTTGTTCTTTTATTTAATTCACCTTGTCCTTTTGGTTTATTCCACCTCATTCTTGTTACTCCACCTTGTTCTTTTATTTAATTCACCTTGTCCTTTGGTTTATTCCACCTCATTCTTGTTACTCCACTTTGTTCTTTTATTTTTTCTATCTTGTTATTTTATTAACTCAACCTTGTTCTTTATTTATTCCCCCTTGTTCTTTTATTTATTCCATCTTGTTCTTTTATTTATTCCATCTTGTTCTTTATTTGTTCCACCTTGTTCTTTTTTTTTACTTTGTTCGTTTACTTTTTCACCCTTGTTCTTTTATTTACTTTACCTTATTCTTTTATTCACTCCACCTTATTTTTTATTCACTGAATAGGTATCGAACAAGAAAACGGTGTATCTGATGGTAAGTCATCACCTATACTTACAAATCTGGCTACTTATATGTTGCTTTTAAGTTGGGTTTTTTGTAAGGTATGTTCGTGTGATTGGGTGGATTGGATCTTCTGTATCGCCGGAATACATTCAAAATGTAAACTTTATTTTTTACAAACAAATATAGTTACAAAAAAAATTGAGAATCTAAAAATCTCTTGTTTCAAAAGCTACACATCCTTAGCCAATGGTGACTTCGGTTCGACCTATTTTGCCCTACCTTAATACCCATAAATTCAAGTTATAAATTATCTTTATGTTATATAGATTTAACTGTGTCCATTGCGCAATAGTACTGTTCCTGATTCCCATTTCCCCCCCCCCCCCCCCTTATTAGTACTGTTCATGCAACTAAAGTTATCTACAAATAATTGTCCTGAGTGTGTGTTCACTGTGTTCGTCCTTGTAACGTTTGTGGAAGGGAATTGTTTCTGGTGTGGGATGTTGTTTTTTTTTAATAAATCAAGAATGTAATTTTTTTAAAGTCACAGGTTATTCATGTTTTTATTTTATGTCTTTGTGTGTCTTTTGTAATTTCCTTATTTATGTGAGGGTCGCACCTGGGATAGCTTTAAAAAAAAATCCGTGGTCTGTAAAGTTGGTTTACTGACGATAGTTGAACGTGACAACGTCATAAGAAAATACTGATGGAATGGTTGCATTTTTCAAAAATGTATTATTGTATACGAGTAGCAGCTGTCCACGCGGACGCATCGCTCACTCAAGTTCCTACTTGAGAGAGACAGATGTCGAACGCTGCCGAACGCGGAGGCCGATTGTGCCTCTTTGTCACTCGTTCCGCGCTCTCGCTTGCACTTCACGTCTTAAATGGAACGCCTCAGAGCGAGGTAACGCCGCATGAGTCATGTTTTTTCGTGCGTGCAGCCGGCTCCATCGAATTATAAGACGTTGTCACGTCAAAACCTGTACACATTTTATATGTAAAACATTTAGCCTGTACTGTCTATCATATCTTGTAGTACATTTTATTTCAATAAAATTAATTATTCTAACTGCTAATCCTTCAACACGAAGGTTAAAATATTTTTATAATAATAATATCCTCACACACGGCTGTCTGATCCCAATCTAGGCAGATCCTGTACTAGGGTAACCTGACTGCTGATAAACATACTTATATATTTCTAAATACATACATATTATAGACTAGCTGAAACGCGGTGTTACCCGCGTTTGGTGTTATAACCGCGGGCAACACCGCGGGGCGAAGCTAGTCTAAAAAAAGTAGCCTAAGTTACTCCTTATGTCATCAGCTATCTGCCAGTGAAAGTCCCGTCGAAAGCCCAGCCGTTCCAGAGATTACCCGGAACAAACAGACAGACAGACAGACAGACAAATATTGAAAAAAATGTTATTTTGGCATATTTACCGTGTAAACATACATATGCATTTAGTAAAAAGCGGTTATTTTAATATTGCAAACAGACACTCCAATTTTATTTATTTGTATAGATAAATTACACCCAAACACAGAATAAATGATCTTGCTAACCATACAAATATTTGTCTTGAGTGGGAATCGTGGGAAGCTTGGTGATAATGTACCGGCCAATTAACTCCTACACTGTAGGATAGTAGTTGAGTATTCAAGTTGGTAGTTTATTGAGTACGAAGGATAGACAGCTAAAACAAACAAAATATTATCAAAATCGGTTCCAGCCATTTTGAAGATTACCCGGCACAAACAGACAAAAAATATATGAACCGGTTTTTAGGTATAGGTATTGAGAAAATAACCGTGTAAGCATAAAAAAACCTACTATTTGAACATAACAAACAGACACTTCATTTTTATTTATTTGTATAGATTAATTAATGTATTTATAGCAATTATTATAAGCCCAAAAACGATCTAAGTGGCGTGCAATGGGAGATTCCTATGTCCAGCAGTGGACTGTGATAGGCTGATGATGATGATAAAAGAAAGATTACAACAATGAATGATATAAATATATATTCCGTTACAATACAATTGAACAGTCACAACATCAAAACAAACCACACGCACTTGACGGAAGGGCGCGATTAGATATCTATACAGCGATACCTCGATAGTAGATAAAGTTGTTGTCGTTGCAGGCACATGGGACATGATCCGAGGCAAGATTGAGGCGGTCACCGGACGCAGCAAGTCGAAAGATAAACAGAATAAGGTAATAACAAACATTTTTATTAAATATTTTTATAAATCTGTCGTGTGGTGTGAGTGGTCGCCACGCCGCTTACTGCTACGCTGAATGTTGTGGGTCCGAATCCTACATGGGACGACACTTGTGCGATCCACAAATTGTTGTTCTGAGTCTGGGTGTTCTTTGTGTCCGTTTCATGTATGTTTATAAAGTCCCCCGCGACACAGGATAAATTCCTAATGCGGGCGTTGTCTTTATAAATAAACTAGCTGACCCGGCAAACGTTGTTTTTGCCATATACGTTATTTCAATAGTTTTTGTCAAAAAAAGGGGGTATGAAAAATAGATGTTGGCCGATTCTCAGACCTACCCGAAATGCACACAAAATTTCACGAAAATCGATCGAGCCGGTTCGGAGGAGTCAACCACGCACACAGTGACACGAGAATTTTTATATATTAGAAGAAGATAAAAAGTCATCTACATAGATTTCGGTGCTCGAAATTCGGCTCAAAAATCGTAATTGAATTTTTTTAAATTAACAAATACACCCTGGAAACTAAATCAGTGTTTTGACTAAAATTTATTGTTATAATTATAACGTTTTGCCTATTTATAATCGAGAACGACCACGCGTGACTTGCCGGTACCCAAATAAACCAAATTTAGCACAAATTATTGAAAGAAAAAAAAACAACTAAAAGTACGTATCATGATATACAAATTTTCTAAAGCGTTTTGAGAATAATATTTAAAGAAATTATAATCAAATCTGGCAATTTCATCAAAATTAATTGTAATACTTTTCAAGGCGATGTGACTTAAGCAGTAACGAAAGACATCTAAAGTCGATGGTCCTAATTAATTGAATACAGTATTAAAACAGCCTTAACACGACTCCAATTCTCCTTTCGCAATTTACCAGGAGTAGGACCGTCTGACATATAAACCGCTGAACTTTATTAAGGGGGTGACAGACATACAAACAAGTACGTGTACTTATGACTCAACGACCTTTTTCGCTTGTTAGTCACCGTCTAGTTAAAGTTCGTATGTCTATCACCCACTTTACAAACATAGTTTCTTATGGAAAAAACCCTTGTTATAATTTAATGATAGGTTTAATGTTTTGAACGATAGAACTTCGTATCTTAAATCTATAGATTAGATCGTTCAATAATTTGGTCACAGCTGTAACATACATGTGTCTCTTTATTAATACCATGAATTGGCATTGTGTTCGAAATTCGACTAGGAGTCTCAAATATTTTAAATATTGTTTTTCAGAGTAATAATAATAATAATATATATATCACACATCTCACACACGACTACAAACTAGGCAGAGCCTGTACTATGGTAACCAGACAGCTGATAAACATACTTATATATTTTTTAAATAGATACATATTATAGATAAATTACGCCCAGACACAGAACAAATGACCGTGCTCATCACACAATATTTGTCCTGGGTGGGAATCGAACCCACAACCTCCGGTTTAGCAGTCAGGGTCACTAACCACTAGACCAACAGGCCCGTCAAGTCATTAATTTAAACTGTTTCATTTCGTGTAGCCTTTTTATTTAATATATAATTTTACACGTTCCATTCCATTTTCCAGATGATTTATCTTTAAAGATTCGATAATAATAATGTTGAATATTGGTAATTTGTTCGCTTTAGATTGTAAAAGTATTATTTATGTATGTTCATCATCAGGCAAGTAAACATAGTAATGGTCACGGTCACGGACTCGGTAGGTGGTACCAGACGCAGTCGCCTGGTTCTAAACTAGACAGAAGCTGTCACGTTCTCAAGTATGTTAGTCGCTTGGCTCATAAATCTAATATTTAAAATTCTCGTGTCACGGTGTGCGTGGTTGAACTCCTCCGAAACGGCTCCACCGATTTCCGTGAAATTTTGTGTGCATATCGGGTAGGTCTGAGATTCGGCCAACATCTATTTTTCATAAACCTAATTTTTTTTTTGACGATTTAAAAAAAATGTATATGACAAAACAACGTTTGCCGGGTCAGCTAGTATTAATATAGAACTATTAATACCAGCATCGTTTGTCAAGCAACTATCCATGAATGTAATCATAATAAAAAAACAAAAAGATTTACAATTTCCTCTACTTTTATTGCGTATTGTTAGCATGTTTTTTATGCGTCGACTTAGAATATAATGGATCTTCTCTATTGATCAATGATTGATGAATGATTGATTGACAAGGTCTCTTTCTCAATTCCTGATTTGAGTGAGTACTCAAATCAGGCATTGAGAAAAAGACCTTATTCTCAAAGACAATAAGGTACATATTACGTTACAATGACATAACATTGTTACACTTATAGGTGCCGGAGTCTGATGCGATCGCGGAGCTGGACTCTGTTATTGACAGCTACCATGGTAAAACAAGTAAGTTTTCTTTTTATAACTTAACTAATATTGTAGACGTTGTCCGTGTGGTGACGGATTAAGAATACAGATTGTCACCACCCCTATTCATCCCGTGGGTGTTGTAAGAGTCAACTAAGGGAAAAAACTACGCAGAACAACAACACTGCAGAGAGAAGGAAAACTTGACACAAACCCTATACCAACCTGTCTGGCCAGCATGGTATAGTAGGCCAAAACCTCCTTTCTAAGGAGAGGCTTATGTCCAGCAGTGGACTATTAAAGGCTGTTGATGATGATGATGATGAATATTGTAGACACGAATGTGAGTTTGTTTGTTTTACTATTACATCGTAACTACTCAACCGATCATTATGAAATATTGCTCAAACGTTGTCAGGGATACAGAAAGAGACAATCTTTGACACAGAATGTGCCATTTACGAGGGATAGAAAAATAATAAGTCATCACACACACAATAACAGCCTTTAATAGTCCACTGCTGGACATAGGCCTCTCCTTAGAAAGGAGGCTTTGGCCCATTAAAAAGTACCTACTTGTTATTTAATAAATTAAATACATTTGCCTATATAAACTAAATCAAAATCAAACTATAGGTACCCTTAGCACACAGATGCACATAATAAACTTAAAACTACGCCTACTATATGTGTTAGGGATTAAAAACCAGCAAATGCTCAACATGTATTCCAAGGTTGCTCTCTTATTGGTGCTAATTCTGTTGTTCGAAAACTCTCTAAACTAAACTAAACATCCCTAAACAAAATTTTAGTCTTGCCAAATTCTACGTTTTCAGAACAGGAAACGTTATTTGACAGGACGAAACAAATTTTTAGTGATTTTTAGTTTAGTTTAGAGAATTATCGAACAGAATTAGCACCATTGACGACTCGCTCCTGATTAACACAAATTAACTTTTACAGGTTTGTTTAATGCGAACAAAGTTAATTTTTTGCATTCCTCTATCGAATAAATATTAAGTGATGAGTAAATCTTTAATGACTAAATATTAACATCACCGACATTAAATAAATAAAAAATAGAAATAAGTAATATAAGTTCATCTCATTTTCAGTTAAAGAAACAAGCAGCGTTCTAAAACGTTCGCGGCGGAAGAACAAAGAGTCACAGAGCGACACCAAAAATGGCGGCACTTGGCCAAAAGCAAGAGCCAATTTCATTCTAGAAGAAAACTCTACTGGCACTATTGTCCAACCTCGGTCCAGGAAAGAAAGACCTCCACTGTCTATACTACTCAGCCCACCAACAAAACTTCCACCAGAGCCACAGAGATCTAACACTAATCGGAACTCGAACCCCATACCACTAGGACACGCTCCGTTAACCCAAGTCACTGCACCAGCGCGACATTCTGTCTATAAGTCTATAGAATCATCGCCAGCTATTGAACACTTTCCAAAACCAGCGCCTTTAGCAATTCACAATCCCTTTGCATCTCCGAACAGTATGAACTTCGAAAAAATTAGGACTTTGGAAAAAGACAAAATGTCTATGAGCGATTATTCAGAACATGACGTCACACAAAACAGACTGAGCCTAGTATTAAACCCGTCGGATGATTCTTTAGATTACCAGCCCGTGACCAGAAATCGGACCAAGAGCCCTCACTCTCTCGATTTCATGGTAAACAAAGGCCCAAGCTCTTTAGACTTTGTGACGAGAAAATCACCCAGTTCTCTAGAACATTCTATGAAGAATCACCCAGGGAAAGATCTACTAGACCAATATTACTCGAATAAGAAATCATCGTCTCCAAAAAACATACAAACAGTTAACAAATATCCTTCGGACAGTGACAGCTTTGGACCGGATAGTTTGAACAGCAATGCTAACTTTCCCATCACCGGTACACTTCCTTCTCAATCAAGACTCCAATCTCTGTACTACAGGGGACCTTTTGTCAACTCAAACCCTCATACATCAAGCAGGTACCCTCATCTCGCAAGTCCCACCAACATACCTCAAAGTCAATCTGGTGAATCGATCGGGACAAGTTATGACATGCACTCCTTCACATCACACACGCACAACATGTCTGATCTCCAACCAGTGCCGAGAACGAACAGGGGAGGAGATTATCATCACACCTACGAAGGTGGAACGTTTCCTCGTAAAAAAGAAAACCAGAGATTTCGGATCCCGTCGAACCCAAGTGTGACGTCAAAAAACTCAGCAGGAAAACTTAGCACGGGGTCGATAGAGAGAAGTTCGGAGAGGAACTCGCCAATGCCGACATTTCATGTCGAAGTATTGAGTCCAGGAAGAGGTGCTAAGCAACTAACGCATAAAACAAGAAATTCAATGCCCGAATACTGTGGCTTGAGCTGGAATAAACCCTTACCGGGGGAATTAAGACGCGTACATATAGATAAAAGTCAACAGCCACTTGGAATACAAATTTATTGTCCTCCCAGTAGCGGGGGTGTATTCGTGTCTACCGTCAACGACAATTCTCTTGCCAGCCAAGTTGGATTACAAGTTGGCGACCAGTTACTGGAAGTGTGCGGGATAAACATGAGATCGGCCACATACACTCTAGCCGCTCGCGTGCTACGACAGATCGGTAACTCGATAACAATGTTGGTGCAATATAGTCCTGAGAAATATAAGGATGAAGTTGAGGTTCCTGGAAGCTCCTCCTCAGGTGAAAGCTCACACGACGAAGAGGTTTCTTTATCAGGGTCCCCGACGCCAAGGAATTCGCCAGGTCCTCAACAGTCTATAAGAATTGAGGCGCCTTCGACGGAAGTGGCGACTTCCAGACAGTCGCAAGCTGGCAAAGATCTTCCAAGATTTTTGTTGATAGAAATGAGGAATTGTTCGGACTTGGGAATAAGTTTGGTCGGTGGTAACGCTGTGGGTATATTTGTACACAGTGTTCAGATTGAGAGTCCGGCGTATAATGCTGGGTTGAGAACTGGTGATCAGATACTGGAGTATAACAACGTGGATTTGAGACGAGCGACTGCGGAGCAGGCCGCGTTGGAGTTAGCGAAGCCTGCTGACAAAGTAAGCATTATTATTATTATTAAAATTACCTCTAAAGAACACACAATTTGTTACACACACTAGCTCCTTGACGCTTAAAACATAGAAATTATATTTTTTAGGTGTCCGTGTTAGTCCGCCATGACTTGCAGCAGTACCATGAGATAAAAGACAAACCTGGCGATGCCTTCTACATCCGCGCAGGGTTCGATCGCTGCGCCAAGATCACCTCTATCGGAATGGACACCATTGACGAATACTCGCTGTGGTTCAGGAAGGACGAAGTGCTGTTTGTTGACAACACGTTGTTTAACGGCTCTCCAGGGCTGTGGAGAGCTTGGCAGTTAGATTGTAAAGGAGCTAAACGACACTGGGGGACCATTCCTAGCAAATCCAAGTAAGTTTGTACTTAATTATTTAATTTTACCTTTTAATTTTGTTAGTTTACAAAAACAATTACCGTGGGAGAGATATGCTTCAGTACAAATGGGCCGGCTCGACCGGAGTGATACCAGGACCTCACAGAAAACCATAAGAATTTGTTTCGATGCTTTTCACCGAGTGAGGTGAGGTTACCGAAGCCCAAACCCATAGAGATATAAGCATAGCGAGAACACGGAATACATCTGCCTGTGAGTGAACGCGCTACAGTCATAGAGAGATGGATGCCTGATAGTTCCCTCTGTCTCTGTTTGGCTAAGCTGCGATTGGCAGTCGTGAAGTGGGCATGGTTTTGATCGTAGAACCGTCGGGAGATTAGCGATTTCCCCAGCCAACCACAGAGCTCGACTAGAAAGAGATGAAGGGAACTATATATTATCCATATATCTCGTTGCCTATATTACAAAATGCCAAGAATTCTGTGGGGAGGGATATTCGAAGGGTGGCAGCGCTCTTGTGTTCCTTGAGTGTGTCCATGGACGGAAGTACTCATTCATCATCAGGTTGACCTGCTGCTCTTTAGCCGCCTTTACTGTTAACAAAAAATGGTATCTTCAATAGCAATAAATTATCGGCTATACTTAATCTGCGAAACATGGAGAGGCTTTTTATGTTATAACTGTTCACCCATCTTTCGAGTCACTTGGTTATGTACAATAGTCTCGGTTATCAAAGTGTTTGCTTAGCCAGAGGGCGTCGGTTCGATTCCTACCTAGGACAATTAATAATAATAATAATAATATTCTATCACATTCACACAAAGCCATCTAGTCCCAAACTAAGCAGAGCTTGTACTATGGGTACTAGACAACTGATATAAATACATAAAAATACATATTATACATAGAAACACCCAGACCAAATCAAACATTCGATTTTCATGCACACAAATTTTTGACTTGAGCGGGAATCGAACCCGCGACCTTTCGAATAGTACTCCGTTACACAAACCACTACGCTATCTGTTCTTTAACTTACGCCCAGACTGGTGTTAGTTATTTATAATACGTATTGAGAAATATATAACTGTGTTTATTAGTAGTCTGGTTATCTATACAAATAAATAAAATTGGAGTGTCTGTTTGTAATATTAACATAACCGCTATTTACTAAATGCATATGTATGTTTACACGGTACATATCCCAAAATAACTTTTTTTACCAATTTTTGTCTGTCTGTCTGTCTGTTTGTTCCGGGTAATCTCTGGAACGGCTGGACCGATTTCGACGGGACTTTCACTGGCAGATAGCTGATGACATAAGGAGTAACTTAGGCTACTTTTTTTAGACTAGCTTCGCCCCGCGGCGTTGCCCGCGGTTATAACAACAAACGCGGGTAACACCGCGGGTCTCAGCTAGTTATATAGTATAGGCTCTGCTTAGTTTGGGGTCAGACAACGTATGTAAGGTGTTTCATGTAATTTTTTTTATCAAGTACCAAAAAAACCAAAGTTCACGTATTCTTGAACTTTGGTTTTTTTCGTTACTCAGAGTTCCATACTTCATCAACAGCCTTTAACAGTCCACTGCTGGACATAGGACTCTCCTTAGAAAGGAGGTTTCCACTGTTTCCACTTCCATACTTCATCTGTTAATATTTTCTTAAGTAATTTTTCTTTTTTATTATAGAGTCGAAGAGATCCTCCGTCGGTCGATGGGCACTCTCGAGAGCGAGGCGCAGCGGCGCGCCTCCACCACGGCGAGGCGCTCGTTCTTCAGGCGGAAGAAGCATCGAGACAGCAAGGAGCTGGCTTCCTTCTCCAACACCGAGCTGGGCTGCTGGAGCGACTCTGGCACTCTAGCCGATGACGTCACCGTACTGTCCTACCAGAGGGTCGAGAGGTTACACTGTGAGTACTTTACGTGTCAGTATTATTAAATTCGTTGGGGTCTATTACGTTTTATTCATAAAAAGCTGAACTGTTTAAATTTGAATTGGTTTTGCGATGCGTTCGCTTTGCTCGTATATTGTTGGGGGTAATGCTGTTTTAACTGGAGTCTATCGTTTCATTTTTCATATGTTAGTAGAATTGTTTCAATTACAATGGGTTTGGTACTTGCCCGATGAATATTGGACAATGAATTGGATATTTTGCAATTAAATTGTTATATTATGTACTGTTGTGAAATTAATTAATAGTTGGTAATTGTTTGAAAATTTATACGATGAATATGACGATGTGTTTAGTATATATTGATATTTTTTCGGTAGTAAAAAATCTAAGTATTACGAAAGAAAGGTGATGATGATGTCGGTCTCGAACCGATTACAATTGTGGCATCTTATAAGTGGCTTGAAAGAAGCTTCATCGCGGTGTACGGGAGACCGGTTTCTGTTTAGATTATTCTAACTGAGATAAAGATTTAAGTTATTTTTAGTTTGTTATTTATATGAAGAAAAGCATTATTTCAAGTAAAATATAACAATTGTCGTTTTGAAAAGCCGTTACTCGAAAAGGTTTTTATGGTAGTTAAAGTTTACGATCTCGAATATGAGTATCGAGTAAATAACGTGGTCGGGGTTCGCAGACGGGCGGCAGCGGCCCGTGGTGGTGCTGGGCCCGTGGGCGGGCGCGGTGAGCGCGCGGCTGGTGTCGGACTGGCCGCACGCGTTCGGCGCGCCGCGCGCCGCCGCGCTGCCCGTGGGGGGCGCCGCGCCCGCCCTGCAGCGCGGCACGCACCTGGAGCCGCGCCTGCGCGCCGACTGCACGCACATCGACACCATCCCCACCAGCGCCATCACCGACCTCGCCGACAAGGTACGCGATCTATCGTATCTATCTATTTACTAATATATTACTATGTTTAGCAGCACTCTGGTTACCATAGCACAAGCTCTGCCTAGTTTGGAATCAGATAGCCTTGGCAATGATTGGCTATGATGGCGGGAGTTTGTTCATAATCAAAACAAGTTTTCAAGTTATAAAGTCTCTAAATTACTGCTTTTAAAATATTCTGTATCTGTTTCGTGTACTACTGCATTTTGTTCCATATCACTCAATAGATCGTCATGAGATTGAACTGATATTATATTGAGACGATACTGGACTGGTGACGGATTAAGAATACAGAGTGTCACCACCCCTATTCATCCCGTGGGTGTCGTAAGAGCCAACTAAGGGAGCAAACTACGCAGAACAACAGCACTGCAGAGAGAAGGAAAACTTGACACAAACCCTATACCAACCCGTCTGGCCAGCGTGGTATAGTAGGCCAAAACCTCCTTTCTAAGGAGAGGTCTATGTCCAGCAGTGGACTTTTAAAGACTGTTGTTGATACTGAGACTGAATTGTGTGTTTTGTTAGCAGAATACCTATTTTTAGTCAATTCGTAATTCAGTCTCGATAAAATCACATTTCGATTTCAGATGTTTTAAAATACGGGAATTGGCCTTCAGGACTTACATTAAAGTGGGATGACGGAATCCAACCAACTAAAACCACACAGTGTTCCGTCATATATACCTCTATTTTTTTTTTTTTTTTTTTAAGGTCTACTACTAGCAACAGAAACTACTAGTATTCCCGTTAATCCCTCCCGCTAAGCTAAATTGCTTGTGTTGTTTACGTCGGTAGTGTACTGGTCAGGATTTGAACCCACGACCTATTGATTTAGATCGCCTTAACCACTAGGCTACCACCGCTTTAAAAAAAAAATATACATAAATTATTATTTATATATAAATCTATTGCTCAGGATTTTGTTACAGCTTAGAAAATAAGTTTTTGAGAAACTACAAAATATATTAAACATATACCCTGCCTATAAAGTAATTGACAATTTTTTCTTCCACAGGGCATCCACTGCATATTAGATATAAGCGTAGCTACAATAGAGAAACTGCACAAGCAACAAATATACCCTATCGTCTTATTCATAAAATTCAAATCGTTTAAACAAATCAAGGATCTCAAAGACACGCGCCACGCTGACAAAGTGTCCGCAAAAGCCGCTAAGGAAATGTATGAACATGGACTGAAGGTGGAGAATGAATACAGAAGTTATATCTCAGGTGGGTATCTATCATCATTTTACTGTAGTTTAAATATTCGAAGAATATTATTATTGTAGTATAGAGTAAAAATTTGTGATTTTTTTAAATTATAAATACTGTTTTTTCTGTTTTATTATAATCCTTGGGCAGTTTGTATTCATGTATTAGTGGCTTATGTAATGATAGGACGAACCCGGTTTCATTATGGCCTCAGGCCATCATCATCAGTTGAAGATCAAGTCTCTTTTTGCGGTGTTATACATTGCGCCAACTACAAATAAAATTTGAGAAGATAATATTTTAACTCGATGGAATGGATGAAAATTTTTCTTATATATATATTTTTTGTGAAATGATTTACTCTAATTCGAAATGACATTAGGTAGGGCATAATTTTGGTCTGCGTGTTTCGTGTCAAATAAAATTTAATTCTGTACAGCCGAGATACCCGCGGGCGTGAACATCGCGTACACGTGCACGCAAATCAAGGCAGCCGTGGAGGAGGAGCAGAACAGGACCCTGTGGGTGCCGTCCGTGCAGGCCTGACCCCTGCCGCGCGCCCCCCCCAGGCCGCGCGCGCGGCGCCTCAAGGCCGTGACGTTCTGCGCGCACCGCCCCCCCGCCCCCGCCTCGCCGCCGCCCTCGTCCAGGGACGCCTCCTACTACTCGGACCCGGGCCGCGAGCGGAAGCCGAAGCTTAAAAAAGAACAACCCCGCAGCGACTCCACGGACTCCGACCTCAAGTACTACTCCGAGCCCGACGCCAGGTATTTCGAAATCGATTACGAGTTCTTGAAGGAGCTGCGGCGTATCGCTCACAACAATTGCCCGAAGTGTCGCCGCAGAAGGTCCAGGCGCGGCGACCGGGATCACAGAGAGAAATCGACGAAAACCAGAGCGTCGAAGTACTCCCGTCGAGACAGCTATGTGTTCTGCAACGGGCGGTACCACAGTGAGAAGGAGCACTGCCGGTTGTGCTGCAAAGTGTGCAACAAGTCCACCGAGACCCTCGATTCTCTCGACGACGATCAGTATTCTCTGGTTTCTAAGAGCTACAGCCGACCCGGCGTCGCGTCTCGCTCTAAGTCAACTCCGCGGAATTCCCGCGAACGGAAGAACTCGATTCAATCGAACAAATCGGTATCGTTCCTCGAATCGAGTAACGAGGAGTCGACGAAGGACGAACCGAATTACACGGCCAAGAGTTTCACCAATGATCTGAAGAAGTTTCTTTTGAAACCTTCGACGCCTCGACTCAGTTTGCGTGACAAGTTTATCACTAGTTTCAAGCAAGAATTCGAGGCTACCAAAAAGTCTCCGAAACTAAAAGCTATCAAAGGTCTCTGGAAGTCTTACTGAACTGTCCTCATTTTACTTATTAGTGCGCCATTTAATGATATAAAAACGTGCTAACTTTTTGAAGGATCTTTACATGTTTCTGACGAACAGTTACGACAGTATTGTCGTGGAAGGCGCTTCTATTTCGAGTGTTATTGTATTTTTTGTATAAAGTTATTTATTGATTTCCTCTTGGTGCTATTTATGTTTTAATGCCAGTTTTCAGAACAGTAACGTGGACAATCCTTCTCTTTCTCCTTGAAACTTTGTTACTTAATTCGTTTGTACTCTAAGATTCTATTTTATGTTATGATTTCATCTAAGTATTAATGCCTATCTACGTCACTTGTCTGAAAACGAGGCGTTTGTATAGCATTCTTTAATAATTTGTTTTTTTTTTTCATATAAAAACGTAAGTGTTCATAATTGGTCTAAAGGATACTGAAAGCCAAGGTTTCGGTGCTAGTGCTGAAAGCGTTTTACAACTTTACATATATTATACTTCACATATACTCCGATAAATATATACATAGGCAAATATACATATGTGTGCAATAAATATATATTTATTGTAGATTGAGGCACGTCACATCAGGATATAGAAACTTATTCAGAGTGTTCGACACGCTGCTAGGTGTCGCGATCTGCGGTCGACCGGTGAATTTACTGAATCCGAACACTAGAGTAGGGTTAGTGAAATGAAACCACTGCCCTGTATTCCGATCTTCATCGACAATATAATTAAATAAATATCTTTTAAGTACATAACGGTAACGTAACCATACCGAAATTGAGAAAGACAGTACAACGCCATCTATAGATGATCTACAAAAAAAAATATCCATTTGGTATTTCGTACATAGTAAACACAGAGGTCTGTGAGTAGTTTGTTACCTCAATATCACTTGGTGTTAATAAAACCGGGAAGATTTTACTCGTATAAGGTATCTTATCAGCTATGTAATATGTTGATCACTCTTTAATAAATAAAAAAGTGTTATCTAGTACAAAAATAAATAAATTGTAGACAAAGGTATAAATAGTAATTGTAATGATTATGACACAAATATATGGATGTTGTAAAGAACATGACACTGTCCCTCCATATATAATATGTTTGTTAGTCTGCCAATTTCTTTCTTTATAAAGTACGTAACAAAAAGCGAAGCGATGTGACGTGAATTAATCTAAATTTATGACATTTTCTCTTATACTAATAAATATAAGATACATAAATATCATCACTTTTATAACTACTCTGGAGTTGCACATTATAATATTTAATACTTGGCCTTTTTACTACGCACCAATGTTACAATAAATTACAGAAAAACCGGCCAATTTCGTATACCTATCAAGATTATACATCGACGAATATTTGAAAAGTAATCAAATCAAATGACAGATAAATGATCTGTGTTTTAAAAGTAGGGACATTAAATTAGTGGTACTGTTGAAATTGAGTGCCCGAATTGGTCCATATTATGTATAGGTATTCTTAGATTTATGTAGCAAAATCTTGATAGATGAAGTAATGATTAGTGGGCCATTAGTGACTGCATGCGTCCCGTAGTAGGTAATGTTGTCAATTTTGTGTCATATTGTTTTAATGTCTTAAAAACCAACACGAGCGACAGATATTTATACAAAAAAACAACAAGGGATATTGCCCTTTTCAATACCTTTAATTGTTTCTATACTTTTATCAACATAAAGGATTCTTGTTATTTAAACCACTAACTTCTGTCTAAATATTTAATTAAAGTCTCAGACTTTTTATAAATGTGTCACAAAGACAATGGACTGCATCTAGAACCAATAAATAATTTAAACATACTATGACAATGTTGAAACTTGCTTAAAAGAGTTTTACTTTTGTCTTCTCAAAAATATTTTTATATAGTTAAACGTGGTCCGCTTTCTAGGAAGCATTCCATGGTTTCTATATTTAAACACCACAATATATTAATAATATAAAACAATCAGAATTGACAATGTCCATTGTTTAAGATAGCAACCATTATGAACTGTACCATTAAAATAATGATGGTATCGTACATATATAACATTACACTGCAATTCAATATCTTACAGTACATTATATGTTACATTATGTCATATAACGTAATATTTGACACTAAAATGCTGGTGTTGTAAGCAGTATGACAAAGTATTGACTTTATAATTAATGTTATCATTCAAAACAAAGTAGTTGTACCTTAGGGATCACTTAGTGATGATGACACAGTTAGATTTTGTTGTTTCTAAACGTTTATACATTAGAATTTTAGCTAAATATATATAGACATTATTACTCATTCTATATGCGTGAATTAGGACCTGCATTGGTGATTTTAATATCTATTATTTAAAACAAGAATACTTCTATACGTTGAGGAGCTGCTATTTATAAAATACTAATTTATCTTCGATATTTTAAAACTGGCAATACGAGACAATTAGTGGTTATGCACTATGGCAATATTTGAATTTAGAGTGATTTGGTAAAAGGACTGTTGTGTTTTTATTATTGATGCAATGTAAAAGGTGCATTTGTATTAAGATGCTTATTCGACTTCAAAAGGACTTGTAATTGATTTTAACGCTGTAAGAGATTATTAATTTTTAATGGTTTATTACTAGTTGTGTAGAAAAAAAAACTATTTGCATGAAACAGGAGTTTAAAGCAATAATATAAAAGTTGTAAATGGTTTATTAGAATATGCTGATTTTAAAAGCTGTCTACAAAACTTAAATTTAATTTAAAAAAGTGGATAATATATTTTTCTAAAAATGTATGTCCACATATCGGTAAATGTTTAATTTAAAATCAGAAAAGATTTTAAAGAAAAAATTTAATCAATTTTACGAGTTTTAGAATGGTTACTTCCTAGATTTTGACATACAATTATTAAGGAATTATTTAAAAATTGATATTGGTCTATTATTAAACTATTTCTGATTTTTTTTAAAATAATCAATCAAGTTATACAGTAAATCTCGTGAAATTGATGAAAAAAAAAATTTCACTAAAATTAAAACAATACGACTTTATAAGACTGTAGTGCTACAATGTATAGTAGTGTGGATAATGCAGCCGTCTTTTAAAGGTTTTTCCTTTATCTTCGCCTCTAATATAGAATAGTCTTTAAAATTCTGTTAAATAAATGTCTTAGGACAAAAGTTTGAACATCGGTAAGGTTCTTAGTAGACCGAAGCTCTTGGGTATATATTGAGGCCTACAAACATATCGGGTACGTCTAGTTCATCCTTGAGCCTGAATTTGGAAGGTTTCGGACACTACTCGATCAAAATAGATTGTTGACATAGGGTTTGGTCAACATTTATTGATGCTAATACGCTGGTTGTATATATATAATATATATATATTTTTTACCACATTCACACAACGCCATCTAGTCCCAAACTAAGCAGAGCTTGGACTATGGGTACTAGCCAACTGATATAAATACATATATACTTTTTTTTTTTGTAAATACATGCTAATTATATATATAGAAACACCCAGACCAAATCAAACATTAAATGTTCAAGCACACAAATGTTTGACTTGAGCGGGAATCGAACCCGCGACCTTTGGAATAGCAGTCCGTTACACAAACCACTACGCCATCCGATCGTCGCAATTCAACTTTAATCATTGTTCAACGGGCAGACTTCTAAACGATCAAGCATTAATCAAAAATCAACGATAAAATATTATATCGTTATACAATAAAAACGATCAAATGTTTATTTTAAATAGCTCTGTTTCATCTATAAATAAAATTGGACATGGTTTATTGTTTTCAACTCGCAGAACGTTAGGTCAGTCGCCTTCGTCAATCTTTTGCCAATTCTTATTCTCTTTACAATCTGACGTAAGACCTAGACGTACCCTTTTTTTTTCCGTGCGGAAATCCCCTCGGATACCACCTATCGGTGGTATGTCGGACTCGAACCCGACTAAAACCGCACGCCGTCCCCGGTACTAATAGCCGGGGAACCAGGTATACCCTAGAAAGGAAGTCCCTGGTGCTCCTAGACGTACCCTAAGTGTAGCCTCAATCAAGCTGCCTCTTTGTTAAACTGTTGAGTTGACTTATTAAAACTTTGACTACAAATTGAACCTAATTACAAGTTAATTAAGGATATAATGTTTTACTCACGTGTTTATATTATCAAACAGAATGATTTCATCGTCTGCAACTAACGTGTTAAGTTAAGAGGCGTTGTACCATGATATACAACCCCTGTCGGGCATATCTGAAATAAACACGTAATTAAAACTAATTTTTTTATTCATACAACTACCCACAAAAAGTTTTTATTCAAACTACAAGTGTTTCAAGGTTACATGACACATTAAAATATAATTTTATAGTTCTTGTAAAGATATTTTAAAATGAATGACTGCCGTGTACTACTGCACAAGCACAATGAACCATAACTTATACAAGAAACTTTCGCACTGTCTATAGTTATGTTTCTTATTTTTCATTAACTTGTTGAACTCCAGTGTTTTTGCGCGCGAAGTTAAGCGATCTCATTGTTTTTTTACGTGTGATGAGGCTTAGGGATAGTTCATATTAGGTAGTGGTTATTAATTTCAGCGGGAGAACACTTTTCAGTCTAATCTGAACTATCCCTTACAGACACAATTTTACTTTTAATAATTTTCAGAACATTATAATAGACTTAAGTTTATTTTTTGTACAAACATTATTTGATATTGTTTCAGTACTGTAAGACAGATGTAAAATGAGTGATAATTTATAACACCTGTTATACATTATGCCTAGCTGTTCTACTTTAATGGTCAAAGCTCCTAACTGTCGTCCCGACACGATATTAGATTTTAATTTCATCTAATCATTATACACTATCTAATAATCCACTCCTGGACATGGCTCGCCTGGCCAGACGTGTTGGTATAGTGTTTGTGTCAAGTTTTCCTTTCCTTTGCTGTGCTGTTGTCCTGCTTAGTTTTTTGTTAGTTAGTTGCACATGATGTAACGTCT